CGATAGTTACACACAAAGAAAAAACTGGTTTTTTTCAAAAGGGTGTTTCACCCTTTAAATTTGAGTTAGGGCCGCTATAAAAAAATACGTGTCTTCTCAAATTGTATGTTTTACAACATATTTCAAAGAGAATCAAATCGGGAGGGGACACTTGTGAACGTTCCCTTTAAGAGTGTTGTCAGCATGTGTGTTGCTACACTTCTGCACTTTAAGACGAGAAAAATTTTTTTTATAAAGATTACTATTATTTTGATATACACTATCTCTATTCGTCTCCACAACACGTTACATATACATTTTACGACCAATATTAATTATATCAATGTGATTAGTATCATCAAAGCTGCGAGCTGACAGGTCTGAGCGCCGCCATGTTGGAAAAGGACAGACATCTTTTAGAAAAAGAAAGGAAAGAAAAAAGACGCCCTTATGCGGGAATCGACATTTCACGGGATGTAGAAAAGGACAACCATGTCGCATTTTGATGCTTCTAGTTGATAAAGGAAAAACTTATATATTAGAGAAGGATGACGAACAGACGACGACGACGACGACCAAGCTTACATAGATTTCGGCATATTTCGACTTTGGCAAACTTTGGCAATTAATATATTTTTTTAGAAAGCATGTACAAAAAAAGTAAAGATACTTTTATTATGTAAATCGCATGTGCTCTATCGATTGAGTCTATTATAAATTCGATCGGTTCACGCATTATTGAGATATGAAAATCTCGACTCCTATCAGCTCATGTGCTCGCGTAAAGATACACGGTCGGTCTTGCGCTGCGCGTGAACTTGGCGCGAGACACTACCGTGTCTCTTGATAGTGCGCGCAGTTAACGACAAATATCCGATATTTCATGATGACTATTTACGATAGATTTTCCTGAATGTTGCACAAAAGATACTTTTACAACACAATCGCGAGAAAAACGAAAAGATTTTAAAACTCTCCCGTCGCCGCGATATGTTCTAAAACTGACCATAATTCGAGATACATCGAAATAGGCACAACACAAAATAGCTAAGCAATAGCAATTATAATATAACATAAAAATACAAATTCATATATTTCGGCAATTTTTAAAAATGCACAAGATTACAAATTATGTTACATAAAATAATCAGTAAACAGCTTAATAGAAACAAAAATATATGTATATATACTTGATGATGATCATTCGATGTTCGTTGATTTGTTGATGCATTTTGATAAGAAAATAACCTGTAATATGCGCAATGTATGAAGATGATCTCGAACTTGGAGTATAGCTAGATTGTACAGTGATATTAGACGCGTATCTTGTCGATGAAACTTGACGAGAAACATTTGCAATAATCTTTCGCACGTGCAAATTTTACTTTTAAACAATACAATAATTATAAGAAATACGGAATAGTTTCAAATTCGACAAAATACGGTTCTGTGAATATCGCAGCGAGTTTGAAAATTTACAATAATTCGAGATTTATCGAAGGGCAATCTTGCGATTCTCGAAGTGATGAATTCGTCGATATAGAGCTAATCGCAACATAGCTTTTTAACATAGAAATAATTTGAAACTAGCTATTTAAATTAGCTATAAAAATGATTCAAATAATAAATTAGTTGTAACATATTCAATATGTGAAGAATTGTGCAATATTGAAAATAATATTAAAACAAAAAATTTTTATTTCTTACTAATATTTTGCAGCAGATTTCATACTCAAGATTTACACGCCAAAGAATTTTTGTTTTAGTGTGGGTGGTAATTTTTCAGTCAAGGAGGCTGGATTTACTTCAACTGCAACCAATTCTTCATTGTTCAACCAATTTAAGTAGACGAGATGCTGCAAATAATAAAAATTATCATATTTTGCCTTTTCGCTATTATTCAATTTAAAACAAAATTTTCCTTAGATCAGCAATATTACCTTATATTTTTTGGTAACTTGGAATGCGTGTTGAAATTGTGAGCTTAAAATTGAATTGCTATCTTCTGTATTTTCTCCATTTTCACGTTTTAGAATTTTTGCTTCTTTTTCTGGCAGATCGTTGATCTTATTAATAATGTACACGCTTGAATCGTCCTGCATGATTATGACATTTTCGTTATGAGGGTCGAATATAATATTTATTATTGGAAATGGACGCGCTAACCATTGCTTTGATAGTCGATTTTGCAAATTATTAGAAAATTCTGTGTATTGCCTCCTAGGTATATTGTATTCGACGATCTGAAAATCAATTGTTATATACATAATTAGCAACGATAAACAGTAATTAGCACAATTACTATAGGCTGAATTTGGTTTTAAAAAATAAATTAAAAAATAAATCTTAAATTTTTATTTTTTATTTTTAATTTAGGTCATTCTTAAAAAATACCACACACTTAAAGTTTAATACTGCTCATATAAAAATAATGAATAACGTGATTTTATCTACATCTTGACAAATTCCTGCAATTTAAATCATAGAACTATATATACAGCATTCACTAACCTTATGATCGGAGTAAACTATAACCAAATTGAGCGTGTTTTTCTGCACAGCCATCGCCGTCGGAGGGCAGCTGTACTTGGGCAATTGCCATGCCTTAAGTGATCCTGCTGTTACACCGTTGTCAATGAAATATATGGCAATCGCGCATTGTCGATCTGCACATACAAGATATTTGCTATCTGGAGAGAAACACACGAGACTGACATTTGTAATAGATTCCTTCATTGTCGGAAACAAGCCGATCAATCTTAGACTTTTCTTATGCACTTTGAATAGCGTTACAATATTCTCGCTTCCATTATTGCCAATAGCGGCAAATAACTTGCCATTTGGACTGAACAACATCTTTTGTATTCGATTCATAGATAAATCAATGTCATTCTTGGATAATTGAGCATCTCCATCTACTACATCAAAATTGAAAACTCTGACGTGCGTGTCTGTTGAATACACGATTGTTTTTGAATCTTTATTAATGGCGCAAGATACAATGCTCTCGCCACTCTTTGTTTCTAATTGCAACAGTTTTATAGGTTCCTTGTCCAACTGATGCAACATAGAAGTGCCTATTAATTTTGGACAGTCTTTAGTGACTGAACCAAGTCTCCACAGCTCCAGATAGTTTGTGTATCGCAACAAAATACATCTAGATTTTCGACAAACTATAGCACAAGGTGGTTGAAGTAAAGGGGGATATTTTACAAGATTTTTTGGCGGATAACTAGACACAGCTAAATATCCATCTACTCCAGCCGAATAGAGTTTTCCATTGGCTTCTACAAGCGCTCTGACATCGTGGACATGCAATCTCCTCTCAATTCCTTTTACCCATTGAGACTTTCCACTTGATTTTAGAGTAACCTTGCAGAAACTTCTTACAACTGGATCCACACCAGCGCAATATAAAACATTCATATCGTGTGACAAAGCAATAGCCAATATATCAGCTGTATGACTTTCATGAGATTCTATTAATATTCCTGCTTGAGGGTCCCAGAAACATAAGAAACCGTTAGAATCACCTGAAATTATTATATTGTCATCTGTAACTGCAAGGCACCACATTGTTGTATTTTTTCTGATGTTACTTCGAACAGTCGTCATTTTGTGTATTGCATGTCCAGATATAGCATTCCACACCCTGATGGTATCTGTAGAACCTGTATAAATCATCTCCCCTGTGTTGTCCCATTTAATACACAAAATTCTCCCTATCTGCTTATCAAATATTCCATCATAAATTAGTTTATCTTCGTGGATAGTGAAAATATTAATATATCCATCTTCTGTACCAACTGCTAAACGAGTTTTCTCGTGATTCACATCCATACACCAAGCTGCACCTCCCATCACCATGACTTCATGCTTGATTGTTTGCGTCGTCAAGTCATATTCTACTACTGCACCTTGTGGACCAGTCGAGAACAATCTGGGACCGATCCAGAGTATGCTATCCACTGAGTTCTCAATATGACCGGCTATAATGCATTCGACGAATGGAGTATTCCCAACATTCCAAATTTCTATGGAGTAATCCTTTCTTTGAAAGAGAAAAATAAAAAAAAAAGTAGTAAGAAAAAAGTATGTTTGCAAAAATTAATACTAATTATATAAATAGTATTAAATATATAGTAAAATAAATGCTAACAAACTAACCTTGCGAGAGCTAATTTTTTCGTTTTTGGTTCATGACACAAGCAAGTTACGGATTTCGGTTCCAAATCATAAAACCTGATATTATGTATACGATATGAAGCCATAACTACTTATTTCTGTGTCATTAAATATAAAATCTCACATTTAACAAATTACACCTACTCACATCTACCACATGTATTGTAAATTCAACCATCATATCACGTGGGTGACTTTTTCTAAGAAAAAACATGGCGTTAGACAAAGTTTCTAGAGAGGACTTTCCTATTGGATATCGACATTTCATGCATCGGACATCAAAAGCAATGTAAGTTGCTCATATAGATAAAATTTGACAATTTATGACTAAAGAAATAATTTATTTAGTTTAAAAGCCTGTCTATATTATTATATATATCTATTATTCTATTTTAGATAGAAAATTTAGACATTTTACAAAAATAATCTATTGACACCATGGCTGCGTTCCGTAAAGAGCATATGCGCGCATATATCTACAGTATACGTAACGTATACTATAGATACATGCGCGCATATGCTCTTTACAAAACGCAGCCCATATATGTAATACTACTATAGGTATGTTCCACTTGGCGATCGCAACGCTTGTGGAATCATTTTATCTTTGTTTTTCATCGAAAGTTAAAGAAAGATAGATAATGCTCGCGAGCGTTGCGATCACCAAGTGGAACTCAGCCTATGGGCTTGTTCGTTTTAGCTACACTGGAGCTGCTCTGGTTCTGTTCTACACAGGATAATACAGGACAGATAAATAGTTTGTCCTGTATTATCTTGTTTAAAGCAGACCCAGAGCTGCCCCAGTGCAGCTAAAACGAACAAGCCCTATATTGCTCGACTGTATTCCGAAATTCACTGCCAGTACTGCAAATCTATAGTTTACGTTACGTATATTATAGATACTGAAAAATGCACTAGGAGGGATTTTGCCCAATGACCTCGAGCCGAGAGAGAGAGTGGTCATGTTTATTCTGTCTCGCATGTTTATTTAAATGGAAAAATAATAATAATCTCCATGGGTGTTTACGATAATTCAAGTTCGAGTTAGTTTCACTAGGACCGAAAAATGAGATAGACATAACCATCTAGAACCTTTATGATTCATGACAACTCGACGCTGTCTTGTATTGCTTGAGTTAAATTCATTGAATTTGTTGAGTTTATTGAGCAAATTTTATTGTAATAGAAAAATGTCAACTGCAAATCAGTCTATGAAAGAAACAAATAATGTT